AAGAAAATTACTTAATAGTATTTCTTTTTTATTATTAGATAATTGTAGAATTAATCAAAATTCCCAATTAATAAATTTGAAGAATTCTATACAGTTATATCTTAACGAAGAATAAACGAATGGTAACTGCTAGGAATCACTTATGAACTGTTATATATATATATATATATATATATATATATATATATATATATATATATATATATATATATATATGCATTCGTATTCCTTTCATTTGACCCGTCGAATACTATTATACGACATGTTATTCCTAAGTTATTCCCAACTTATTAGTTACAGTCTCTCACAATCACAACCATTTTTGGCTTCATCCTGGATAATTGCTATTTTTGTTTTCTGGTATGATGCGGCCTGACTTGCTTGTATATAAACTGAGTATGTGTGAAATATATGATTCATACAGTGAAAGGTGATATTGGTGTTCTGAACTCAACGGGCAGGATAGGGCTAGAGGATCTAATAAAGACTCAAATTGACTCTAGGCTGCTCGTGCTGGTTAATGTGTTATTAGTTTGGCACAGGACTAAGGTCATATAAGTCTATGTTCTAACTGGCGACTTAGTCACGTGATATTTGACGGGCCTACTGACATAACACATACTAAATGAATACAGTACAGACAACAAACATATTTGTATAGTGTTCAGACTATATTGAACTATTGTTCCAATTTAATTATATTCTATTTTCTTTAAGTCAATATATTTGGTATGTAATTACTAATGGAATTCAGGACACACATTTCATCCTAAATGGGAATTTGTTAGTTGAATATAACTTAACTAAATATGTTGATACTGAAACCAAAACTCAGTACTTATTACTTCAAATACCAATGTATTTTTCGATGATCTGCTGATTCCAAATAAGTAGTATGTAACACCAGTCAGAAATGGAATGCATTCCAACAGAAGATTGAGAAGATCGAATTGAAGACAATAGGAATTTAAACAAATAACAACGGGCATGGAGGGATGATGAAGTTTGTAAGAGACAACAGATGAAAGATGTGCGAATAATGTATTTGATATACGGTATTCATACTGTGTGAAAACACTCTGTAATTTGACACTAAACAATAAATTGATTTCCCCTACTTGAATGCTCGGTTCATTACAAGTCGTTATCTTGGTGTATATCTTTTAAGTCTTGTTAGATTATCTCAATATTGCACATATTCTAATAGACACTGATTGATTTCAGTTATTAGTATTAACAATAATGGGAGATTAAAAAACCCTTACAAATAATTTCTCAATTTGCGTAACATGAAACTGTTCATTTAAAATTTCTTTTCTTCCTTCCTATCAACCTTTTTTGTCATTACAGCACTTCTGATTTTCACAAAATCTAAGGGTTTTTCTCATTTTTCAAATGTAAAAAGAATCAGTACGTTTAAACATATAATTATATATGTAGTAAACATTCAAGTGTACTTGAAGTACACGTCACTAGTGTGTATACTTTGTGCTTTTTACGCATATCTCTCTGTGTATATATATGCGTAGCCATTTTTGTTCATGCAGTACAGATCTCTTTTATCTCTTTCTTTTCAATGTAATCTCTTGAGTATGTTATGCAATCTATCCTCATTTGTTTCCTTCCCCACTCACCACCTATGAGAGAAACATCTTGTTAATAGGCAGTTTTTGTTTAAATAAGTAATTAATAACGATAGAAATAGCAGTCTCCTTACTTTATAAACCTTTCTCTACTGTTTTCTGTTTCACCCAATTTTCTACAAAAAGAAATGAATAATACATATGATTATTTCACAATGTACATATTTTTTTTAGCATGGTTTTGTTTTGTCTGAGTAAAAATGTAACAACAGTGACAGGAAGCGGGTAGGTAAGGGATAGCCCAAAAAAGAGAGAGGATAAACCAGAGTAAGGTGACGTGATATAATGGTAAATTGAAAAATACTCAGAGCTTTTTTTTCCTTTTGTTTCCCCTCTCACTTTCTCTTGCTCCAAACTCTATCCATTATCATATCCATCAAAGTGAATTGAGTATTACATCCGTCATTATTCTTATGAAGAAAATTTTTGAAAAAGAAATATCAAAAGCACTTATTTGCCTTAATTTATTCATAGAAAAGCAATGTCGAGACTATTTTAAGTGCTTTCTCATTATTGTACTCTTGTTTTATAATGTGCATTTTCAATTCTGTGCATGTCTGAAAGTTTTAGATGAACTGTGCTATATATATGTCGAGATGTATTGTGATAAAAAATCTACTTTTAATATATATCAGTCAAGTATTCATAAGGTAATATCGAGGTATACTCACAGTATGCACATATGCCAATAACAGACTGATCAATTGCAGTCTTAAACCTCAATGGGAAGATATAAGTAAAACAATACCAAGTGAATTCAAATTCACCACATTACACAAGCAAGTGGCTATCAGGACACAGTAGTTGAGTGGATAATGAGATGGCGTTTGAAGCGAATGGTACTGGGTTCGAGTCCCAAAGTGAACATGAACTCTGAGATGCAGGTACATCTAGCTGACGAGTCCTAAATAGGACGAGACACGCGTCCTGGATTCCACTGCTAGCCACTATCCATCACCTCTTCTGATAATTTTCTTTTTTTCATGATTTCGTTTTCTTCATTTTATCACATATATGATGACGTCATAGGTTTATTATATTTTCATTGTAATGTCTTGTTTCCAATATTACATATATATATACAATAGGATAAAATGATATCCATTACTAAAATGTATTCTGTCAGTATGATAATAATAATAAATGAGTAAATGTTAATTTACTTAAATAAATTAATTTCATTTTTAACCACGGTCATATTCTATGGCTGTTTTTTTTTTTATAAAAATGGAACAAACAATTAATTTTTAAAATTTTTCTTTGTTTTGTTTCTTTGTTTCTTTCTTCTTTTTCTTACCCCTGAGTAATCTAGATTCTCTTTTGTGATACAGTTAAAAAAATATTGGCAGACTATGTTAATGGAATATTAATTTATATATATATATATATATATATATATATATATATATATATATATACTTGCATATATGTATGTGTATACATGGATATGCTCATGCCTGTATACATTGTGGGTATGTGTATGTTGTGTAAGATAAATAGAAAAAAAAATAAGGAGAATAAGCCATTTTCATTAGTAACACCAAGAATACCATTAATACTAAATACCATAGGTACTTTAATATAATTATTATCATTATATACATATATATGTATATATAAAGAGAGTGAGAGAGAGAGGGGGGTACTTTCTCATCTGATAAAAAAAAGTTTTTTTTTTCATTTTAATGAATCTAATGGAGTTCAACTTGAAAAAAATCCGATTTTACTTTCTTCTATAAAGATTATCAGGAAACATGATCAAAGATGATTTTGTCGGATATTTTTTTTTAATAAAAAAAAGTATAATGTGAATATAGTTTTTTTGGCAAGAAAAATACAATTAAGTTTTCTCAATATTACATAATTAGAAGAAGATCGATTTTAAATTAAACGAGAGTAACCAGTATGAGTGATGGATATAATCTATTTGGTTATTAGTATTAGTAAATAAATTCAGGATGTACATATGTCAATAAGAGATTGATCAATGACAGTCCTAAATAACAATGGAAAAATACAAGTAAACAACATCAAATAAATTTAAAACTTTACTCCATTGCACATGTAGATGGCTATCAGAACTTAGGAGCTAAGTGGATAATTCGATGACATTTGAAGTGAACGGTACTGGATTCGAATTCCAGAATGAACATCAACTTTTAAATAGGATGAAACGCATGTCCTGTACTCCACTTCTAGCTACTATCTATCTTTGTTTCAAGATAGTTTATTTTGATGAAGTAACGCCAACGAGAACGTAACATTTTGACTGAGTGAAAAGATTATTAAATTGAGCAATTGGCAGAACATTATTAACCGATATGAACTAATCAAAGTACAGTAACAACACACATGTACATACTTTTAAAGTTGATCACTCACTGATTATTTAATTAGTTATCATGATTCACTTAAGATCTATCAGAAAAGAAGTTTAATTGTTTTCAATAGACTAATTGACTTCTTTCAATACTTACAGTAGGAAGGATAATTTACACAACATTGTAATATTAACTATCAATACTTTCAGTAGAAGAAAATATTGACAATTCAAATGAATAAAACTCGAACTCAGTTTCTTTCCCTTTACCATCCACCTCGATGAGCTATTTAGTCCATAAAGTCACAAATTTATTTAATGAGTATGAAATTACAAGTAAGTGCTTATGATTTCCACTGAATTTCAATGTGAACACCAACAACAGGATCTAGATATATTCAGTTGATAAGTCCCAAATAAAAAGAAATGTTAGACCTGAAGTCCACTACCACTTACGTAACGAAGTTACTAAAACCTGTGACACTATCCTAGCAAGACAATCACCTCTGGATGCAAGTATAGAAACAAGTACTGATTATTTACAGTATCGATTATCAACAAAGGGAAATTACAAATCTTAATAATTCATTTTAATTTTTAACTATCAGTAAACATTGTATCAATTAATATTCAAGGTCTAATTTGTTTTTCTTTATATGACTTATTAGTTTCTTGTTATCAGTATAAATTTATACAATAATAACAATATAAACAAATATGAATATTGTCTAACAGTGGAATCCAGGACTCGCGTTTCGTTCTATTTGGGGCTCGTCAGCTTGATTTGCATGCATCCCAGACAATATCGAGGCATGCTCAGGATGTACATATGCAAATAAAAAAGATGATCAATTGTAGTTCTAAAGATCAATCAAAAGATCCAAGTAAACAATACTAGATAATTATTAACAATACTCTAACCTACTCAATTAACTATTCGTAACTATTATCATTTCAATGAAAATACTACAATAATATAATTAATTTATTAACATTAATTTCATTTATTTGTTTTATTTTATTCCTCTATTATACAGGATTGTACAAAAAATGGTACAACAAATACTGGAACTTATAGTTGTCTATTATTAATTATACCACTTCGACGATTAATTGGTTCTTATATTGTTACAACTTATATTCCAGAAGTTTTAATTGTTATGGTATCATGGTTAGGATTTTGGATTGATATTAAAGCAGTACCAGCTAGAGTAACATTAGGTTTGTTAACATTACTTGGTTTATTAACTGAAGTAAGTTTTTTTTTGGTTTTTCATAAGATAATATGATTTGTTACTGATAATCGATGTTTTATGCTGGAAGAGTACATTTTATTTCAACTATTTAACCTGTTATTCAATTAACTACTAGAACCAGTTAGCTAAATTAAATAAAACACATGACTATTGCACAAGTTATTGGTTATCTACACTTATCAGCTTAATAAATAACGCGTTGATGTTTGAAATGATTAGTGTTTAGTTCAAGTATGAGTGTGAGTACTAACGTTGGAATAAGGTCCTCAAATTCAAAACGGAGAACAACAGTCCAATCACTCTTGATGGAAAAACTCTGGAAGATGTAGAATCCTTCACATACTTGGGAATCATCATTGATGAACAATAAAGATCTGATGCAGACGTAAGGGCAAGGTTTAGCAAAGCAAGGACAGCATTCCTACAACTGGAAATCATATGGAACTCAAAACAACTTTCAACCAATATTAAAGTCACAATCTTCAATGCGAACGTCAAGACAGTCAGTTGTACTGTACGGAGCTGAAACTTCGAGAACTACAACAACCATCATCAACAAGGTACAAGCATTTACAAATGGTTGTCTACGCAAGATACTCAACATCCATTGGCCGGATATCATCAGCAACAGCCTTCTCTGGGAGAGAACAAACCAGTTTCCAGATGAAGAAGAAATTAGGAAAAGACGATGGAAATGGATAGGACATACATTACGCAGATCATCAGAGTGCATCACGAGGCAAGCCCTAACTTGGGATGCTGAAGGGAAGCTGAAAAGAGGAAGGTCAAACAATACATTACATCGAGAAATAGAATCAGATATGAAAAGAATGAATAAGAACTGGAAGGAGCTGGAAAGGATTCTTCAGGACAGAGTTGGATGGGGAATGCTGGTGAGCGGCCTATGCTCCTTCACGAGGAGTAACAGGCGTAGGTAAGTAAGTAAGTACTAACGTTGGAATGTGTAAGTTCATCGAGCTGACAAATTTCAAAGAGGACAAAATGCACATCTTCGATTCCACCGATAAGCAATATTCAACGTTAGTAGCTACTTATGAATAAATGGCAATGTACTTAAAGAGCTTAATCAAATGAAGACATTAGTAACAAAATTAGAAGATTCTAACCTTCATAAATCAAGTTAATCTTTATTGTTTGATGATTTATATTTTAATGTGTTCCTAAAAAACAAATTGCGTCTTCATTACTACTGAATTAATGTTATCAGCCATAGAAAAAAATAGAAATGTTGAATTTAAGTCAATAGATTCCTAATCGACAGTCCGGTTGAAATCCACTGCATTCTAAACTTGAAATCAATAAATGAAAGGAAAAAGATGGTTCTTTTCTGTTAGCATATTTTATTTTTCTCCTAATAAAACCTTTTAAAGACAGATAACTACAGTGTTATAAACTGATTAGTGGTTAATTTCTTAAAATCAGGATGTTATAGAGTGATGATTGTGATTTTACTATATTGAAAAGTTCCATAGTTGTGTCAAACATTAGTCTACTGGTGTACAGTTTTCAGCGATTGTTGGTAAAGCCAATCATTCTCAAAATTCAAATTATCCTCCTATGAGCTTTCCATTATGAAGATAAATTGTAGTTTAATAAATCTTCAGGGTCATAGACACACACTTCTATGGAGCTCTGTAACATAACCAAACGGTTATTTAGTGTTTCCAGGTTTTTAATAGTTGTCTACATACACGTGTGAAAATATCAATTTATGAGCTAAATTTATGTCATATAATCTAATTTGATTAATAGAATATACTCATATAAGTATGAGGGATCTATCCAGATTGTTGAGTTTAATAATCGACACCATTGATTTGTCTTAGACAATTATTTAAAACAAGAAAACATTGAACAGGTGTTTCACTCTAGCAATGAGCTCCCCAGCATTGCATGTTCGCGACTCAACTAGGGATCATGCACAGGATATTCAGGTCTCTCGTAGATTACTTAGCCTTTATACTACCAAATTATTATCTGCTGATTTACATTTCTAACTTTAACCGATTTGCAATATTGGACCATCATCATCCACTGTCATTGAGTAAATAACTCACTCCAAACAACTATGAGCTCGGTTCATTCAATATTACTTAAATGTTGCAAGAAGGTTGAATCAGCACATTAGTCTATTTGAAAGTCTGGACTGAAATACTCTTATCTTGATCATGTTTGTTATTTTATTGATTTAAAAAAAATGTCTTCAAGATATTCTATTGATAAAATCCATTGTCTTTCTCTTTTTCCCCTCTCTTTCTCTCTGTTCTCTTTGTTTTAACCAAAAAAATAAACAGAGTAGCAGTGTTAGTTCACAATTACCTAAAGTAACCTATTTAAAAGCAATTGATGTTTGGTTAACTGTTTGTTTATTATTTGTCATCGCAGCATTAGCTGAATTTGCTTATGCTTATTTAATGACACCTAAAAATGACAGTCCTGAATGGGAACCAGAAGTGAGAGATTTAGTTAAAACTTTATTAATAAATTATACTGGTGAAATTCGATGTTGTTGTTGTTTCACAAAGAATCGACATCATAAACCAATTTTTAAAGATAATAATAATAATAATAATCAAAGATCTCAGTCACATCAACCACGATCCTACATAGATACTACACATAAAAAATTTAATTCACACACAAGAGATATTGAATCTGATCCTGAATTTACAATGAAATCAACGAAAAAATCAAGTAGAACAAGTAGATCAAGGCATATCAAATCAACAAATCTACGTTGTAAAGTTTGTGAATCATATCAACCAGTATGTTGTACTTGTCCAGCTTGTGCTCGATTGAAATGTCCTGAAGCACCAAGAAAAAAACCAACACAAGTAAGTTGTATATGACTGATATTTTTTTGCTGAAAGATTTTAACCATTTGATATGATTATAAATATTTAATTGAATGCTTCAATCGGTTTCCTAAGCTCTTCTAGTAACTCCAAGGTTAAATCTACACGATAATTTAACCACGAGAAAAAAGGCGCAAAATATGGAAAGAATGCTTTACTCCACTATTAGTAATTAGAATATTGATAGCACTTCAGATGGCTTCGGGTTTTTGGAAGAATCTGGAGCCCTACTAAACGTAGTATCAGCATAGATGCCCACCCAGTCTGAAATGTGAAACGTGGCTCTTCACTTTCTAGATGCTCTTAAGAAACATTTATTCAATGCTGATTGGATAAAATGTTTCTCAGTGTTTTCAGGGCCCCTCTGGGCTTTTATTGAAAAATACTCTGGGCCTCTCCAACAATATCAAATTATTGTTCTGAATAATCAAAATTTGTTGAATAGTTTAGAGATTTGATTTTAGGTGAAGGAAACATAATTTGATTTAAGTTTCGTGTTAGCTGCCACTCATCGACTAGGTGCAACCCAACTTTTAAGGGAATTGATATTTCTTGTAGGATTCAAATCTGTCATTCCATTTCATAGTCTGAGACATTACCATTGAGTTTTTGAGATTACAACTGACCTACTAAAATACTAAAACATGTACACCAATGGATTATCAAGTAGTATCATACTTGTGTGACCATTACGATTGGTCGAATTTCATTAGTTAATTTGAAATATGATCCTTAGTATCAGTGATCGGATATTGTATTAGACAAAGTGAATTTAATAGTAGAACTTAACAGGTAGTTAATCAGTTATGTCGTTTTAACAGTTTCACAAAGATTCTTTCATGAAAACTACCTCTCATTTTAAAATATTGAATTAATCCTAAAACTGGTGACTATGGTAAAAAAAAAGAATAGAATACAATGAATTTTACATAACAATCTTGAAAAGTATTTCAGATAAATTATTCGTCGTATTGACTAGAATAATTTGATAGTATGGTAGGTAACTGACATCAAAACGCTATGCTCCTAATATCAGAGTGCATCTTTTAAGCAATTGTTGATTGAATTGAATTCAGAGAGATTTTAGTTAACCATGGATGTTATACTGTACATTAATCTCCGGTTAGATTTTTCCACAATTGTAAATATAATGTTCACACGGTAAATTCTTAAAGTAATTTACAATTCTTAGTTGCGATGATATTTAAAGTACTAGTCTAAATTGTTTAGAAGAGATAGGTAGCAGTGGAATCCAGGATGCACGTTTCATCCTATTTATGACTTGTCAGCCAGATGTACTTACATTCTAGAATTAGTTTGAACTGCCGGACTGGAACACAGTACAAAAGGCTTCAAACGCCAAAGCATTGTCCACTTAGCTACTAAGTCCAGATAACCACCCGCTTGTCAATGGTTATGAATTTGAGCTGAATGGTTTCTTACACTTTTATTAACAATTCTAAAGATATATTAGACTAATAGCTAAGTTTAAGATAAAGGTCAAATGTTTTATTCATTATGCCGAGAATAATGAAACTAATACCAACTAAACATTTCACGGAAGAATTGGAAAAATGCCAAAAATGAAAAATAAAAACGTAATTGTTATTGAATATAATATTGTTTGTTGGAATGAAGTGGGTTCCCTAAAAATTCATAGATTCAGGGGAAAAAATCGTAGCACGAAATATTTCACTTACATATTCATACTACTTGTCAATAGTTCATATCATTCATTAAAAATGTTACCCGTAAGTCACATCCATTCTAATAGGATATCGCTTCCATTGCAAAACTAGTAATAACACTCAACAGCATATATTATTATCTGTCATTTCCATTGAGAATTCTCACAACTGAAGTTTTCAAACATGGATAAACATTCAGAGACTTCGTAAGGTACGTGAACCAACTCATTTACTGGTAAGGTTTCTTTTTTGAAAGAGATTTTATCATCACAGAAACACTGTTCAGTCCTATTTTTTCAGTTCTTTTTGTGTAACTCGGTGATATATTTGATTATAGATTATTCGTTTCAGAAAATCAACCTTACTTCAATGGAGAAACCGATAGTTTTATGAATGAATAGTCTTTATGAGTAAACATTAATCATAAAATGCTGTTTGTGAATTATATATTGAAAAATTCAATTAAGAGTGACCTGACACTGTAATCTCTGCCAAATTAATTTGGAAACATCTTAAATCACTGTTTAACATGATTTGAAAGTTTAAGAATATTGGATTAGTTTTTAATCCATGTTTGTAACTTATAACCAGTACTCATTAAATTATATATAATATCAAATTCATAGAGTATAGATGTGACAGTGACAATGTTAAAACCCATAGGTTCGAACTTATTACTTACCCAAACTAGTTAAAATCCTGTTAAGTCCACAATCACTACAAACTCTTAGTGATAATAACAGTTATATGCTTACCAATAACTTAGTTTGAAACTAATTTCTTAATCCATATTGCCAAACCGTTACCAGTTTAGTTTAGCTATATCGAGAACAAGACAAGTATCATCAATGACAGTGGATGACAGTCACTCAAAATTATTAACTGACTAAGGTCAGATATGTGAACAATTATGTATGAGCTGAGTAGACTTAAGGTAGCTCTCTATCAAACTTCATGGTTTTAGCCTTAAAACATGATTAAGAACTGAATGTACACTGATAAATAGTTCCAAATAGTAGTCTATTGTTTTTCTTAATTTTAAGTGGTGATCTCGACATAAAGTCACTTGGTGATACAAAACTCAGAAATAACTGATTAATCAGTGAGTAAAGCAACCAACTCATTTCTTTCCTAAACGTAATTTTACTCATTAAATAATTGAAAAGTTCAGTATTATTTATCTCCTTTGAATGTTTATGAAATGTCATTATTTTTAACGTACATACTGAAAGCATTAGTTTCGTCATAACCGTTAATTACAAGTTGTGGTTCCCAACCCTACACAACACTAAATCACTAAAAGGTCAGATCAGTAGGGCTAATAAATCACAATATATTTACGCAATACATTCAACTCCATTATTTAACCAACGATCAAGAACCAGATATAGCCAGTTAGCAGGTTTACCATACACAACATAAAGTAGTCAACAGGTAAAATCAAAATGGAACAGAATTGAAATAAATAACAATCCAAGATTATTTCTTATATATAATTCAGTTAGATTTGTCCATCTTCACTCCTTAACCAATCACAGTTTGCTTCCAGGAGACGTATTAAGTTATTTTTATTTTCCCACTTTTAAACATACTACTAATTAGTTATCTAAGCTCTTATAAATCAAATGAAGCCATGTTTTTTTTAATAGTTGAATTCATGAATCAATTGAAGCTAGACTACCATGGAAAACCTGGAAGCACTGGATAGCCGTTTCATCCTTTTGTGAAACTTCAAAGCAGTGCGCATCAACTACTAAAATTACTAAAATATCCACAAAAAACTTCTCATATTATTCAACATATGCTCACTGGTGACGGGCTCCAAGAGGTATTTCCTACAGTTCTAGTGAGAAGCAGTGACCAGTGTAGTTCAACTGAGTCTATTGTGAGATAGTAACTCACTGATGACAATGGTAGATATGTCACTCAATTTTGTTGATTAGTTGAAGTTAGACATTAACACCGTTGGATGCCGACCAGCTCAGTGGTCTAGTGGTTAAACATTCGAGCATAAGACTGATAGATCCTGTGTTCGAATCTCGCTGGGCGGTATCGTTGCTGTGCACTGCTGAGGAGTCCTACAATAGAACGAAACAATCGTCCAGTGCTTCCAAGTCTTCCAAGTCTTCCATGGTATTCCCTTTTAAAATCATATTTATTAGTTGTTTATATATATTTTTTTATATATTTTCTTTCTTTTCTTTTTAAAAAAAAATTAAATTTAGGTAAAAATATCAACAAAACAATCAAAATTAAAATCAATAAATCATAATGAACTAAGAAAAATCAATAAAATTAAATCAAATTTAATTGATTATCCTAAAATAATAAAACCAATAAAAAAAACTAAATTAATCAATGAAAAACAATTACAATCAATAAATATTGATTCATGTCATATATTTATTGAACCATTCAATAATGAATTATTATTATTAAATAAACAACCTAAAAAATCTGCATTAAAAGTAAAACAATCAACAATATACAATATAAATAATAATGATAATAATAATAATAATAATTTAATCCATTCAAATAAAGAATTAAAAATTACTACATTTTTAGATCATGAAAAGAAAAATATAATAAATGAATCAGTAACATATTCTAATCATAATAATCGTCATGATTATCAATCTCCTCCTCCTCCTCCTCCTTCTCATCATTCTCATCTTGATCCTCATAATCATCATGACAATCAGTATTATCAACAAATGAATCAATCCAATAAAAAATTATGGTATTTAAAAAATATTTTATATAAATGTATATGTTGTTTTAAATGTACCTATCATGATCATCATGATCATTCGAATGAAAAATATCAACCATTAATTAAAATGTTCAACAGATCATCTAAATCATATTCATGTAAATCAATAAAATTTATAAATTCTACTCATACTACTACTACTACTACTACTCATACTACTAATAATAATATCCCATATGAATCAAAAATTGATGCATATAGTCGATTCATTTTTCCAATATTCTTTGTTTTATTTTTATGTATTTATTGGTTTTTTTATTTAGTATTAGCTAAAGATTAATTTTAAAGAAGAAGAAGAAGAAGAAGAAAAAAAAGAAAAAAAGTGAAATGAGAATAGAGAACTTATTGTATTCAATAGTTTCATTATAATTACAATAAGATGATGATGGTAACGGTGACAACGACAACGATGATGATGATGATGATAATCAGTGATAAATGAATAATAAATCAATAAACATTAGATAGACTTAACAATCGATGTTATATAGAATTATTACTTATTGTCTTTCAGTTAATTAGTATCTTTTATACAAATATATATACCTATATAGATATCTTAGTATAAAACTGTATACTTATGAGTACATGGATGTATTATATATATATATATATATATAAATGGATACTATTTAGCCCAATTAGTTAGAATAATTAAATTTATCTGTATTTCTTCGAATTTCTTATCATCTCTGACATTCCGTAATAATAATAATAATAATAATAATAATAATAATAATAATCTATCTTAAACTCTTTCAACTCTTCATTCTTTCACTTCTTCCACTTCTTCTTCTACTTTCCCTACAAATTTTAGTTATACACAGACTCATTGTTGTATGATAACTAGATACAAGTGTATACACTTAAACACATATAAGTGAATACAAAAACAAAACAAACAAAATCGTATCATTATTAACATTAAAATTGCTTATCATAATTTGAATGATAAACATAAACGTTCAAAGGAATACAACACTATTATTATTATCATTATCCTTGTTCTCCAAACTAATGTTAATAATAATGATAATTTTACAAAGATTAGTGTAATAATAATAATAATAATAAACAATATCAAGAGTTATGAGTTATTGGTTGACTTTGTTTTGTTTCTTTCTTTTTTTTCGATATTTTTCACTGTTAAATCGATCTTCTCTGGGTTTTTCTTTCTTTTTGTCACTTCCTTTTCCCTTCTTTCCATAGTTCAAAGAGAAAAAGAATGTTTCTTCTAATTAATTTTTTTTCTTTTTTTTGGCTTGTTTTGTTTAATTTCCTATAAGGAAAAATGTACAGTTGAGTGTTGTTGTTTTTGTTGTTGATGATGATGATGACGATGATGATGATATTAATGCTAATGCCATAATTGTTTGTTCTATGGATGTTTATGTGTGTGAGGGGATAAAAAGCTGGGTGTATGGGTAGATTATTGTTTGGTTAAGGATAGAATAAGATCAAGACACTAAATTACTTGCTTAGTTTGATGTCATGAAATGGAAATCAACGGATTTTTACTCAGTAGTTTAAAGGTTATGCATTCCCTGGAAGAAACGAAGGTCCTTGATCCGATCCTTCGTGGGATTCTTAATATCTAGTGTTGATGAGTTCCAAATTAGGGCGAAACGATTGTTCCCAACTCCCTGGCTTTTAGTGATTGTTTAATCAAAGTTAGTCCGGTATGAAACAATTTAAAAATCCATACCTGATGAAAAATTTGTTCAAGTAAAAATCATGCCCATGATATGGCCTTAAACTGTGAATAACATCTATGAGTTACATGACAGTTTACAGAATGAATTGAGATCAATTGAAGAATAATTAGAAAACTAAACAGTACTAAACAAATAGTCTTTGATAATGTTATGTTCTCTCAGATGAATGGTTTAATTGTGAAGGTTCCTTTGTCATTCTGCACAATATTATCAGTGTTTCCTTCATGTAGCCATAAACTTTCTGATTATTTCACAAGCATTAAATCAATCTCCTCTGATAAATCTTGTATCTAACTGATTTTCTTAAAAGATTTTATCATTTCTATGTGTTCTTATATTCCTATCGACCTGTATTTTTTCGGTTGATCAATGAACATGTCATTGATTGACCTCCTCCATATCGATTTTTGTCATTCGAGGTCATTTAACGATGTATGACCATCACTTTAAAAATAGTAACAGAAAATAGAATGTTCAGATATTATGACAAACCCAGTGTTATTTATCTATTCAATTAGCATCCATTGATTCATAGACTTAAATTCAATCAATCTCTCATACATAATAAATGTCATCAGTATGGGGGTTGTGGAGATTGTCAAGTTTTTTTTATTAAGATCATGAATCAATTGATGTTAGACCACCGTTGGAAACCTGGAAGCACTGGACGGCCGTTTCGTCCTAGTATGGGACTCCTCAGCAGTGCGCATCCACGATCCCGCTCCCCGCGAGATTCGAACCCAGGACCTATCGGTCTCGCGCCAGGCGCTTTGTTGTTATGTTATTCTACTATCTAGTATTTCTTAACCACGATACTTTATTCAAGTCTATGTAAATCAGAAAATAGATTGTTTTAAAAGTTCAAACAAAAACGAGTTCAATAGTAAAACTGTTAGAGTCTATATAGAATTTACATAAGAATATTCTACCATCTTAATTCATCTAACAACCCTGATTAATAGAAAATAGATCAGTCAAATCAACGAATTCTCATTTGACTCTGATCACAGTATGAAATAGCCAGGGTTCCATATTGCTTGTATTTCTCCATTATTACTTATAGGATGTCTTAATTCTTACCTTATTGACTTCACTAGTATATGTTACATTTTCACTATAAAGTTATTAATTATGTGAATGGTCGTTTTCACGATCCCATATAAATCATTATCTAAACAGTTAAAATTATTAAGTTGAAATACCCTAATCTAAGAATAGCGACATACAAAACTTATATCTAATGAATGATGGATAGTGGCTAGCAGTGGAATCCAGGACGCGCGTTTCGTCCTATTTGGGACTCGTTGCTTACAAAGCTTGTGAATTAAGGTAATATCGAGGCATACGCACAGTATGCACATATGCCAATAACAGACTGATCAATTGCAATCTTAAACCTCAATGGGAAGATACAAGCCAAACAATACCAAGTGAATTTATATCTGATGAGTTAGAAATAAATTGAGAAAAAAAGTAATACCTTCAACATATTTATGGTTTGAATCACGAACCGACTTTAGCTTAACAACTACTAAGAATCAAGAAGTACTGAGTATAATTTCCGTCCCAAAGTAGAACTCCCACATGTACCCATCCCAGAATCTACCATAGGTCAAACTCAGATTCTTAAGGGCTTGCAGTGAACCCTTAACCACTTTAATCCCTGGGATGGGGTCCAATGGTTTATATTTCTAAATTCAATCAATTCACAATATTCCATAAACATATTTCAATCTCAAACTAATCTCACTCCATAATGTAGACAATAAGAATTCAACATTCACTACAAACTGACATACTAATTCTACATTTATCGATTCATTAAACAACATACAATCGTATTCCATCAACTAGGACTGATTAACTTTCAGCTGAAAATACAAGTTGTAAATTTCATTCTTGTAAGTAAATCTCATTCAGGTCCATACTTTGTATTCAAACATTTAACCTAATATGTAGTTGTAGTTGTATTCATTATACTATTTTTTCAGTTTAGGGATTGTGGAAATTGTTAGATTTTTTATTGAAATCATGAGTCACTTGCAGCTAGACCACCATGGAAAACCTGGAAGCACTGGACGGTCGTTTCGCCCTAGTATGGGACTACTCGGAAGTGCGCATCCACGGTCCCGCCCCCACCTGCGAGATCCGAACTCAGGACCTATCAGTCTCGCGCCAAGCGCTTAACCGACTAGACGACTGAGCTGGTCGGCATCCAATGGTGTTAATGTCTAACCTCAACCAATCGACGAAATTGCGCGACCATCTTCCATTGTACTGAGGTAGACACCTGTTTCCACCCGACACGGATTAGCTCTACTATTTTTTTGTTTGTTACAACAAAAGTTAGTACACTTCAGAGGTGATTTTTCTCAGACTACGTTCAATTACAGTATGGTGTCTTATGCGTGTGTTGTTGAGAGATTCCAATGTAGAATAGTATAATATCGTAATGCTTGTTAGTTTTCAACCGTTTTCTAAGTGATGAAAATTACCCTAAAGCTGTACAAAACCTTTACAAACCCATATCTTAAACAAAGGATTTTTTATTACTAAATTTCGTAGCACATATGACTTAATTATGAACATATAGTAATTTTTTATTCATGGTAAGTTGTGGTTGTGAGAATAACTCACGAGTGAACTCAAGGAAACTGTAAGAAACCCAGAAAGAGTAGAAGATATTCCATCCAATCATCTTTTGGAAGAACATTCCAGAATCTCGACTTATCGCTTCCCGATTTGACAAATGCTGAAAACCATTGTATACAGATTGGATGACTGTAATGATGATTTCGTTTTTACTAAAAACTATAAATACCTGAGAGTTTTGTGTCATATATAACACTGTTTGGAACAACATTCCTTCTCACTTGTCTTTTGTCTTCTAACTTGTGACTTGAAAGGTTCTATCGTTCGAGTGCTCAAGTGGTACACGGTATAGCAAGAATCCAAGCTCTAGATATAACAGTGTTCATATAACTGATGCACATTATCCTGTAAGCTTTTCATTCAGGATGATAACACAATGATAGAAGGCAAATTTCTTTGCTGTTTTTGTGTTCTGATTACCCACTGAGGATAGAAGGAGGACCACTGGAATTTACCATCCCACTATCGTTGTCACAGTTAATCGTGTTCATGATTAAAGAGGTTTTTGGTTTGATATAAGTAAAGCAAACTTCTCATTAATGGACTCTATCATCTAGTGATTTAATCAAGTGGATATATAAAAGATCGAGGGTCATAACATGTTAACATTTTATTAAAGTTGAACATTTAATTCCATTTCCAGTGCACACAGAATTTCCAATAAACATTTTTGTTTATCTCGATCACAGATTCCAAAATGATTTCTCTTATTTAAACAATTCATTGTCATAACTAAGTTATCTCTAAGGTCATGTATTAATTTAATGTGGCATTTTTTTCTGTACTAATTCACTGTAGACATTTACTAGATAATAATCAATAGAGGGAAATCTATATATCAATGAGTATATCCGTTAGTAAAAAAAAGAAAAATCTTTATGTTTCCATGATGAAATAAAACTCTTCACACTGAAACATACCACAGTTTTAATCTTCGAGTTCTGTTTCAGTAATAATATCTAATAGGCTGGGAATTCAAACAATTAAGCAGCGAAACATAGAATTAAGTAAATACTTCCAGCATATTACATATTTATTAACTGACTTGATTAATACGGGGAATAAAAATCAAACTCATTTTTTTCTCCTTCATAAAAGAAGGCTATACTGATAAATGTTATGATCCCTGATGTTTGATCCAGCTACATATATATACACTTCCTACACGTTTTCCCAACTACCAACAAGCGTGAGAGGTCGGAGCAATGGCTAAAAAGCTTTAATTAGCAAACGGAATCATTTGTAAATAGATTATAAGTATGCGTCAATCCTTTTAACCAAGATAACAAAACATAGGCTAAGACTTTGACTAATAACATAACCGGCTTTATTCAGTAGCCTGTCTTCTTTGGGATCCCTC